AGGCGTATGACCACGCATTCGAATGAGCTTCTTAAGACGCCGGAGACGAGTGCAACGCGTCGCAGCACGTTCGCACATTTCTAAAAGAGAGCGAGCGAAAGAGATGAACATTGTGCTCGGCGACCTCGTCTCGAATCGACAGATAATCGGGTATTGAAAGACGCAGGAATCTTACACGAATTTTTATTTTCCGCGGCCCGCTCCCATCCGCGGATAGGGTACGCACACTGACAAGTAAACCTACCTTTGTGTTACTCGCCGATTTTATTGAAACTCGGTACACTTGTAGAGTGGTCAAAAATAATAGACACGTACTTTTTTATATTGGCAATGATGCAACTTTAAGGGTGAAAACTACCCCTTATATTTACAAGTACGAGTAATTAATTTGTTGCATTTAAGCTAACAATATTAGAGTTATTTTTGAGTTTTGAAGATAATAAAGGGTTTTCATGTCGCTGAAAGAAAATTTAATGTAAAAATTATAGAATTCAAAATGGTGGATCCAATATGGCGACCTGATAAATAAAAAAAATTTAATCTCGCTCTTTGCCGAACCCAGGAATAACTGACAAGAAGGTAGCGAGAGTTTATCCCAATTTTGTATTTTTGTGTTTTTTATTATTTTCTTTATATTTTTATTCAAAAAATTTTTTATTTATTTCTATTATTTTTTTGCAACAATGTCACTTTTTGCGCCTCGTTTATGTCTATTTTTTTACTTTTTACACTTTTCGCAAAAATGACATGCAAAAAAAAATTTTTTCATACACAAAGAATTTGCACACCAAGCACACTTTATGATTATTATATTATTACATAATGCAAAATTTTTTTTATTATCAGATCGCCGTATTGGATCTGCCATTTTGAATTCTATAATTTTTACATTAAATTTTCTTTTAGTGACATAAGAACCCTTTATTATTTTCAAAACTCAAAAATAACTTTAATATTGTTAGCTTAGATGCAACAAATTAATTACTCGTACTTGTAAATACAAGGGGTAGTTTTTACCCTTAAAGTTGCACCATTGCCGATATAAAAAAATTCGTGTCTATTATTTTTGACCGCTCTACAAGTGTACCGAGTTTCAATAAAATCAGCGAGTAACACAAAGGTAGATTTACTTGTGAGAAAAAAGTATGTGATATTTGAAACTATAATTGTATGGGACTACAGTTATAATCAAAATACTCATTTTTATAGGAACTGTTACTATGATGTTAGCAATAATAACCTTATACGTATGGTACTGTCAATCACATAATTAATTATATAGTTAGAATACCTATAAAAATATGGTTGGCGCCAAAAAACATTATAGATTATGGTTATTGCAATTATTCTTTTCTCTCAGTGTAAACATTCACACAGATGCACGAATTTTCATCGCGCGATTAAATTTTCTCGGCGATTTTATCTTCTCTCCTGTCTTCTTCTGTCTGTTTATTTGCTTATTTAGGCTGACTTCTCGCTAAGTTGTTTAAAGCTGCGCAAGTATGATATGCGGTAAACTAAAGATAACATCATTAGCTGACTGAATTTTCAGATTAGCCGCAACTCTTACTTCGTCACTTGATACATCGAGATCCCAACAATTGCATACTCTTTTGACTTTTGACGCCTTTTTGGATTATTCAAAAAAGTTATATCCATATAACTTTAATAATATCCACGAGATAAAAAGAAACAGATAAATACAAGAAAATATACGATTCTGGACGTGTGTTCTAGACAAAGGCAAATTAAAGATGTGAAGACGATTAATATTAAAACTGTTAATGGTATTTCTAGTAATCTGACAAGACGGATACTTTAATTCTACATTAATTTTTTTTCTAAATTACGTCTAACAGAATCGAAAGATTTTGTAAAATTACAGATTTAATTTGATAAAAAGTCGGATAAAAAAAATATATATATATATATACACTACTGTTTAAAAAATTTGGAAGCACTTGAAATTTTGTTGGAAGTGCTATTAAAACTAAAATATACTATGATAAATAAAAAAATCATGTATACATATAGTAGTCCAAAATAGTTAGGTACGTTAGTATCATAGGGTACTCAAAGTAGGGTACCTTATCGTTATTAAGTACTCAAAGTATCATTGAAATTATATAAGATAGTGGGTTTGTAAAACATTTCTAAGAGCTCTTTTTGAAAATCTTAAAATGCATTACTTTTAATCCCCGGTCATAGATAAAAAAATTTTATTGTTATTTATTATATTAGATGAAGAAACGTAATGACTTCTCAGTAGTCTAAAGTCTCAATAACTCTGACAGCTCTTTTGACTACGATTGTTCAATGAGTCATACATCGATTAATAGAAAAGTATTGAAAAAGTCTAAGAATAAAAAATAAGCAGTCGTAGTCGTCGAAAAGATTGCTAAAGTTACCAAGAAATTCTAAGTACTTCTAAATTCTAAGGAAGGAAGATATTTTGAGTAACTGCTTCGAATAATTAGAAAAAAATAAAACTGGTAAGTGTAAATGTGTTTCTGCTTTTAATTGACCCGTTTTTTTTTTTTAATTGTTAGTCTACTTTTTCTTGTTTCGAGATATTTAAGTTTGTATTTTAATTTACCCAAAAATATGAATATTATCGATTTTAATTAAACTTACACTCTCAGAATAAACGACACAATTATTACATTACTAAATTTTTACATTTTTAATGTAAAAAATTATCGTAGATTGTCAAAGAAAGTACGACTTGGGTATTTTCTAATTTTTATGTATTTTTTATGTCTAAGTCAGTTGATCAATGTATGAGGTAGACTAGGGGCCACTTTTTCCAACGTCGGTTTACTTTAATCAACGATTATAGAATTGCCAACATGAAGAATAAAATATTGCAATTAAAGGAGAAAAGGGCATAGCGGAATAAGCATATGAAATCGGCCCCGCACCAATCGAGCTCAAATTTGTGTCATTAGTTGGTAGCCTTGGTATGAAAAACATCACCAAATATTAACCTTTAAATTGCATTTTTTTCGAAGTTATGGAGGAGGAAAGCAAAATCAAAAAAGTGTTTTTTCTCGAAAACGGCTGAACCGATTTCAATGAAAAAAATATATGTTGCAAATGTCATGAAGGTACGTTTATGAAAATTTTTTGTTATTTTTAGGTTTAATAAAAAACTTGTAAAAAAATTATTGAATTTTTTATAATTTTTTTTTATTATGATATTTTTGAGATACCACTTTTATATTTTTACAATAATATTTTTAGATACTCTACCTTGACATGTATTTTTTTCAAATCAATCAGAGGGGTGGAACATAGTTAAAAATAATCAATCAAGTAACGCTGCGCGACGCCGTGCTGCACCGCGGCGGCTTGGCTGTGGCTAGACGGCCGCGACCGGCCCGTTGTGCGGCGCACAATCTTTTGTTTTTTGCTCTTTGTATACTATTTCGATAAAAAAACTTTTTAAAATGTTTCTTGAAAGACATTTCTCAATGATTTATTTTATTAGCTCAATTTCCCTGAAAAAATAAAGCGACTTAATATGTTTGACTGATTGTGACCAAACGAAAGCTAGATGAATCTTTTTCTTAAGTGTCCTGCAAAATAAGAAACAAATCTGTTCCTCACAATATCCAATGCCACTTATGTGCTTTGTATATGAACTTTACATTTTGTCTGCTAGGTGGAAAAAATAATAACTTTAAAACTCACAACTGAAAATGCACTATGCTTGTTGTAAATATCGGTTGGCAGGCTTAGTTCAATTTACGTTTTTGTAATTTTTGTGTGTTTTCCGGATTTCACTATATCTGAATCGGCCATTTTGAATTTCACAATTTGAGAATACAAATTAAATATCAGCATTCCCAATAACTCATATACATCAGTTTTCAAAAAAATTCATCGCAATTTTTATTTTTTTGCTCTGCCATATTAAATCGAATATTTTGAATCTGATCATTTTTCAACGTTGAAAAAATGTCTACGGCGTTTAACATGCACTTACGATGCGCTGGTTGTAACATTAATTTAAATAAAACTAATGGTAGGAAAAAAAAGTGCTCAATGAAAAAGAAGCAAATTCTTTTTCTGAGTATTTGGAAAAAACGATATCCGTCAATGACATTTTGTGTCCAAGATGTCGACTTTGTATTTATAAAAAAAAGAAATCTGAGAACGATTCTGATTTAGAAATGCACAGAGACCTTCCTTCCTCTGAATCAACTTCCGATCAGACGTTCAAAGTTTCGTTAAAACGAAAGGAGACCATTGAAAATGAATATATCAAAATTCCTATTCAAAGAGTAGTTTCTACCGATAAATATTGCTGTAATTGTTCTCTCGCGAAAAATCTTATCGTAGTTCCAGAAGAAGCACGGATGCAGTCGTACATTAAGAAAAAAATCTATATTCCAGTTGGTAAATTGGTGTTGTCAAAGCCATATTATAAAAAATCGATTTTTCGAAGAAGATCTGAATCTCGTGAAGATATACTCTAATACAACAAGTCTCACTGGGTTAGAGCTATCTAAAATGATGGAAACTCTCTCCATCAAATGTGATTCGACATTACTGATGAAAGTCGGTGAATTCAGTCTCTCAGAAAAGCAGCTTGATGTCTTTACGGGACTAACTTGGGACAATCTTATTCAAATAAAAGATATGATTATTTCAATGAGAAACAGTGAGTCCCGTTCAGTAATTCAAGCTCTGGTTGTGTTTTTTTTAAATTACGTATGGGAAACTCTAATAAAATGATTGCTTCAATTTTACAAATAGAGAATGAACAATCAATATTCGTTTATTCTGCGAGCATTATCAATTCTTTTGAAAAAGACATTTTACCATTACATTTTGGCGTCCATGCTCTTAATAGGGATGATCTTATTACAAATCATACAACAGAAATAACAAAAAAATTGTTTAATGCTAGTAACAAGTTATTTTTGATTTGCGATGGTACGTACGCTCGACATCAAAAAGTACAAACAATGAGTACCAGAGGAAATCTTTTTTAGGGCAGAAGAAAGTTCCTCTTTGCAAACCCTTCACTATCTGCGCAACTGATGGATACGTGGTTGATATGCTTGGACCGTATCTTGCAAATCAAAATGATGCGGAAATTTTGAAGACCATCCTTCAAGATTCAAATGGTTTATGTAACTTGTTAACGGAAGGTGATACTTTTGTCCTTGATCGCGGTTTCCGCGATATAGCAGATGATTTAGAGAAAAAGAAGTTTACAGTTTTAATGCCCGCATTGAAAGGAAAACGAAAGCAATTGTCAACAAAAGAGTTTAATCAATCTAGATTTGTTACCAAAATTCGCTGGGTGGTTGAATCTGTTCATGGAATACTTAAACAAAAGTATCGTTTACTTGATCACAAAATTGACAACAAGTTGGTACCAAAAATAGGAGCTTATTTTAGGATTGCATCATATCTAAACAACACTTTCGGAAAAAGATTACAATCTGACGTAGAAACTGCGGATGAAATTGTACAGAGAATGCATGACCAGAAAGAAACGGAAAATACTTTGGCTATTGAGGCCGAAGAAAAAGGATGGTTTCGTCGAAAACTTCCTTTCCAAAGTATGACGTCTGATGATCTTTTGGATTTTCCAGAAATGACCGAAAGAGACTTGAAAAATTTATTTACCGGTTCGTACCAACTTTCTCAAGCCAGTGTCGTATTTAGCAGAGATGGTAGATACAAACGGTAAATTAAAAATAGAATATGTTAAAGACGAGAAAAATGTCCTTAAACTAAAAGTTCCATCCCGACATATTTCTCGTACATCATACAGATGTTTCTTACGATACGAACCAAATAGTATCGGTGTTTCCGGTCTAACTCATTATGCATGTGAGTGTGCTAATGGCAGACGAACTGTTAGTTGCTGTTCGCATATTGCCGCAGTAGTATGTTATTTATCATACGCAAGGTATTTGTCAAAAATAGTTAAACCAGCAGAAATACTCAGCGATATATTTAAAAAAGATAATTCCATCCCAGTAATTGCAAGTGATAGTGAAGATGATTAAAGAAATTCACTTTAGTTAATGTGAGAGGCAAGGGGACTCACAGTAAAAAAGCACCCCGAAAATATAGAGTTTGAAAACGTACTTTAACTTCCTGGTAAACTCCCGGGAATTATAAGGTTTATAGGCTAACTGCAGACGTCCTTAGCGGAAATATATATTATTTTACTATAATATTTACTGAACAAATGCACAAGCAATAATAAAATATTTATTTCTGTCAATTTTCTTGTCAACTTAACATTGCAACATACCTACAACATACGTTCCACGCCGCGCTTCGCA